ATTTAATCTTGTATGGACAAAGCTATACCGTCACCACAAACAACTATCTATCAATAATTATATGAAGATTTATTTATAAGTCATTTCTCGAAAACAGAATCAATACTCTAAGTAGATTAATTTGTCGATAAAGAAAATTGCGATAAAAAGGCACGAACACACAAAACTATGAAGAAATAGCTTAACAGACAGATTTATATAAGCTAATCTAGTCAAAGAATATTTTTCAGTATCTGTAAAGCTGTAGTGGCGAGTGTTTAAGTTTAGAAAAAAGCTAATTTATGAGGTGAGAATGGCTTAACTATTTTGAAAATTAACTTTATACGTTTTCCCTGCTAGCATCTGGCTAGATGCGACATTAAACTTAGATTATCGATTCAGTAAAATAAGCATTGTCAGTACGATTCGGTTTATTTAACATTTCTCTTCCAGTGTGTGGAATTCTGAGTAGTGGCGCACATAGCATAGAAAATAACATGAGCATACTTTGAAATTGCCGACTGAGATTGGAGGCAGAATTCCTGTTCAATATTTTGCTGTCGAATTCAGTGACAGATCGATCAATCGATTGATCGATAGAGATGAATAGTAACCGGCTGGGCTAGTTCGGAACAGACTGATATAAATTGTTATGATATGAACAGACTAAAATACGTTGATAGAAAACGAGGCAGATTTTGTTAATCATTTTTCTCCAAGCATGGTCATAAAGCCAGTAAGATTGAAAGGAGTTACTGAGAATAAGAGAAAAACAAAGGTGAGAAAACAATAATAATAATAATAATAATAAAAAACAGGAATTAAGAAGACAGAAAATCAGGATTAACACTGCATTTAAATTTGTGAAGTTGACTGGCAAGCAACAAGCCAGAAGAGAATTCCAAATCTGAGAAGTGCGACAGAAGAAACTATTAGCATAGAATTTACGGTTGCAGCTAGCCATTTCATCTATAAAAAGATGAAACCTTGCCGCCAACCAAGTACTACGCTTAAATTCTTAAAGTCCATGTACCATAAAGGAAAGTCATATTTATTCTGAGTAAGACAAAAATGTGACACCAGGTTAAAAGGGGGGGAGGCTTGTCTTCGATCTTTCATATATTAAACTTAGCTAGCCACGATCACTGAGCCGAACATACTACAGTATTCCTTACACCAAAACAATGCATTCTTACTTACCATTCTTACTTCAATCACCACAATACCTCAGGGTCTCTATGAAGTCCTAAATCGTTCCCATATGTAAAATTTGTCTGTTGAGGCAGGGAATAAAAATAAAAAAACAACATTTAAAATGAAACCCAAATGAATATTTACAATGAATAAAATTAATATCATAGAGGAAAGTTCGTCAGAACGATTACCATGAACGTATTTATAGAAAAGGCACAAGAAAGCTACATTACTGCGAGTGGGAAAGCCACTGAAGGCGAGATTCCAGGTCAGTACCAATAATATTGCATATTCTTCTTTGGATATTATCAAGAATCACTGAATATATAACAGGAGCACCAGCCCAGATGCGGCAATAACATTCAAAGCAAGGACGAATGGTAGAATTATGAAGATGTAAGATAGATTCTGTCGAGAAAAATAGAAGTAGAGTAAAGTAGTGTTATAAAAAAACCTCGAAGAATTCCAGTAAGATATATTTAATCATTTCTAAGATACAACGGTGCAAAGATTAATCTAATAATTGAACAATTTTGGTGTTGCACGATTTGGACAGTTTTGATGTTACACCCAGTCTATATATATATATATATATATATATATATATATATATATATATATATATATATATATATATATGCTCCTGAAAAAATTTATTTCGGTTGAGCTCTCTGGGGAGGAAATGTGAGTTTGTAAACAGTGGCTATTATGGCTAATAATGCAAGACTCTTCGGTAAATCGAATTGAGTTCTCTCAGTCACTGGGTGTTTATCTAAAAATAAATACACTTAAAATTCACCTTCATCCTGCCGTGCGCCAACGGCTTAGTGGTAGAATCCCCGACTGAGGCCAATTTAATCGGGTTTCGATACTAGCTAGAGGCAACCGGATGTCTAGCCACACTGATGAGCTGTGATACAGCGAAACAGTCTGTCTGTGGATGACAATATATATATATATATATATATATATATATATATATATATATATATATATATATATAGAGAGAGAGAGAGAGAGAGAGACTGAGTTTAAAGTGCGCTCTATAGATATTTCTCTATGCACTCATTTCGTATGAATATATACATAAAAGCATATAAGCGTCGTATAATCGAACTTACAGAAGTATATCAATAAGAAAAAACTCGTAAACAGCGAAACACTTAAAGACAATAAGAAAATCGTTCAGGCAGTCAGAGACGTATATAAACATCTAAGAAAAGACTTATAGGCATATTTAAAATCCGTTTATCCTGAAAATGTCTGTCGGCACCCAGAGAGAAATGAAGTATTTCCTGAGTGAAGCACTTCTTATCAAATCAATATCTATTCGATAAATTATTGCACGAAATGTTGCTTAATGGCACGAAAAGTAACTTGAACAAAATGTTACGATTATTCAGAAGTCGGTGAATAAACAGGATAATCGCGTAGAGAGTCTCAATAGAATCGACTTCAGGAGCATCAGAAATGAACTTAAATTCATTTTATCAGCCATTTTTATTTTGTAGATGTTGGCGCATGCGCAATCACATAAAATGTCGGCAGCTTAGTTACTAAAGTCAGGGATGGAGCCTAAACAATTAGTATGGTGATTTTCTAAGCGTAGCTTAGATGTGGCTCAAGGCCAAAAAAGGAAATAAATTCGCGTTCCTATCTGAATTTGCATTTGGCCCAATAAAAACCTTGTCTCCACAGAAAATAACCGTTGAGCCAAGTAGAATAAAGAAAGAAAGTATCAAGCATAATTCTTTTTTTATACATAAAATAAGGAGAAAATTAAATTAAATCAATAAAGGAAGAGTATGTGAAGTCCTGTGAGGATCGAACTCACTATTCGTTCAAGGCTGAAAATGTGAGCACCCTGTAAGGATCAAATTTACTATTCAGTCGTAATTGATCTAGCAGGACAAACTTGTTAGCAATTGCAGCACGTCGAAGTACCCAATGTTTTTCGAAGAGTTGCTTATGTATGGCACAAGGCCGTGAATTATGTGACACCCAGTAAAGATCGAACTCATTACTCCCTCGTAATTGGACTTACTACTCTATCGTCATTGTTCTAGTGAGACACGCTTGTTAACCATTACCACGTCGAAATAATCTATATAATCTTTAATCTAGCTTAGATGCCGCACAGGGCCGTAAATTATGGGACACCCAGTGTGGATCAAACTCACTACACGGTCGTAATTGTTCTAGTGACACAAACTTGCTACCCATTGCACCACGCCGAAGTGCCCTAATGAGTTTCGAAGCCTAGCTTAGGTGTGGCACAAGGCCGTAAATATGGAGCATCCAATTAGAATCGAACTTACTACTCGGTTATAATTTTTCTAGTGAGACAGGTTTGATAACCATTTCACCACGTGGAGGTGCCCTAATGAGTTTTGAAGCCTAACTTAGGTGTGGCACAAGGCTGTAAAGTATGAGCACCGAGTGAAGATCGAACACACTCGTAACTGATCTAGCGAGACAAACTACGAAACGTGGCATAAGGCCGTAAAGGCACCCAGTGAAGATCGAATTTGTAATTGAACTACTCAGTCGTAATTGATCTAGGGACACACCTGCTAACCACTATACCTCGAGGTACCCAAATGATCTTGCTTAGATGTGGCCGTAAAGTATAGGATCCCCAGTGAGGATCGAATTCATTACCCGGCCGTAATTGTTCGTGCGATACAAACTTGCTAACCATTGCACCACGTCGAACTGACCACAAAAGTATGGTGATTTTCTAAAGGTCCGAAGTGTGGAGGTTCAAGCTCGCTATTCAGTCGGAATCAATCTAGCGAGACAATCTAGTTCATTTCTGAACCGACTGTTCGGTTGAACTCTCTGCCTTCGGGCGGGAGGAACCCGAAGGAGGCTACGCCGAAGGGCGGAGTCTCTTTCGGGGAGGTAAACCGACCCTGAACCCGTTTATATGGGTTTAATGGGCATATTTTTGGCCGAGCCCACATTAAAAAGGCCTTGTGCCACATGACGCCCTCGTGGGGTGACTGAATATCGTCGAAGGAACGAAAGGATTTTCATAATCTAGCTTAGACGTGGCACAAGGCTGAAAGTATAGTGAGGTCCGAACTCACTACTCAGACGTAATTGTTCTACGGACAAACTTGCTAACCATTACACCCCGTAAAGGTACTCAAATGTTTTTCGAACCGTAGCTTAGATGTGGCACAAGGGCGAAAGTATGGACCTCCCAGTGGGGATCGAATTCCCCACTCAGTCGCAATTGATCTAGAGACACACGCTTGATAACCATTGCACAACGTCAAGGTACCCAAATGGCTCTGATTGATTTTTACGGATTTATCAATCTTTTGCAACCAGAAAGTACTTTTAGATTGTAAAAAAAAATAAAATTGGGATAATGATTTAGTGATACAAGACTTACTAATTAACCCATAGCTGGGGATGAATAAGTGAATTCATACCTTTCCCAAGGATATTTGTGCGTAAGTGAACATAACAAACCCAACGGGAATTCGAACTTGGCTCTCTGATCAGTTGTTGTCCATTTCACCATCCGCACATCCAGGTTTAAAGTTCTTGGTATTCGAAAGTGGTCACGTTTAATTAGGATAATACATTAATTTTAATTGGTTTAAAAAAAGCGAAATTAATGTTAGAGATAATAATGATTTATTGAAACAATGGTACTAATTAACCTATAATTAATACTAATTAACCTATAGCTAAGGGGAGAGGGTAGTATTTGCGTGTAAATAAATAAATAACGATCCCGAATGGAATTAGAACTCGGGTCTCCGATTTTCAATTCGGGGCCTTTATTCATCGCACTACCCATACGCACAGTCTTACAACGCCTGGTATTCCCAACCGGTCACCCAACTAGGTACTGACCAAGTACGATGTTGCTTAACTTCGGTGATCGTACAGTGTTTCAACGTCGATATGGCTGTAAGCCGATTACACCAACTGCACGTCCAAGTCTTACAGCACGTGGTATTTCCAAGCGGTCACCAATCAAGGTACTGACCAAGTACGACGTTGCTTAACTTCGGTGATCGTATGAGAACTGGTGTTTCAATATGATCTGGCCATAAGCATCTGGTGACGTATTCTTTAGTACGGAAGACGACTCTGAAAATTTGTGTAGAGCTGCAATTATACTGATCCGACTTTAGTCACAGTTTTGGGGAGATTCTGACAACTGTTTGAACAAGGCCAAACCCTCGGTCACGATGGCTTGTGAATTCGTGCTGGCACAACAGCTTCTGAATAGGTGCATCTACACCATTACACTATGGTTTTCAAGCATTTTCCAAGTGTGTTGCACGCTGTGATCGCCTTCCCAGGGCGATAATATGACAAAATAAACCATGGTTGAAATTCCAACCCGCGGTAGGAAAGTGTTATAGAGTAGTTTCACAGTGGAGGCTTGTATTTCACTAAGTCGGTCCTAAATTAGGTTCGACGTACAAAACGTTAGGAACTTGATATAATAGGTAATGATGCAGAGAAATCTAGTGGTGGTCGCTGATACTTTTATTATGCGACTAACGGTCGTCCGACATCGACTAACTAACTTGCTGAGCGACTGCCTCGTTATTATTACTACTACTACTACTACTTATTATAGGTGGAAGAGTCTATTACCTATAGAATAGGTGTGTTCCAGTATAACAGAAAGAGAACGTTCTGATCAATCGGATACAAGCAAAAATATATAGTTTTAGCTATCATATCATTATCCTAAAACTTGCAACTACACCCGGCTGTAGGGCCTCTAATCGGGAGATTGGAGGTTTTGTCAATTGCTGTTATTCGCCTGTTAAGATCCCAGCTATGGTCAAATAGTGAACACCTAAATAAAAATCAAAACACAAGGAATGTACAAAAATACAATTTTATAGTAAAATACATAGCAACAATACATTTTTATAGTATAGTAAAATTACCAGTGGTACATTTTTGAAGCAAAATGACCAGCAATACATTTCATAGGAAAATGACCAATAATATATTTTATCGTAAAAGTTACCAATAATATATTAACAATCAAACAACGTGTTAAAGTTATCGAAGCCTATTACGAAAATAGACGTTCAAACAGAAATGCATTTCCGCATTTTGGTCAACATAATCGACCAACCGAGAGTGTAATTGGAAAAATTGTTCGTAAATTCAAACAAACTGGGTCGGTGTCAGGTGTGAAAACACCATTGCATTTCTTAATTTACATTTAGAATCGGTCCAAGTTATTGGAACACACTATTGCAAAATGACAGACACTACATTTTATAGTGAAATTGAAGACACGGCCTACGTTTGCAAAAAAAAAAAAAAAAATTATACAAGATCTGATTTATCTCACATTTTGTAAGGAGAAACAAGTTTTCCGTCCTCTTTTGATTTTATAAGTGCCTTAACTGCCGAAGACAAAATCATTTTCAGTCTCTATAGAAAGTTAAAAAGAATTTGATTACTGATCACGTGTCGTAGAACCACACAATACAACCGTTGCCGCTAGGATGCTTAAGTCGTTTGGATGAAACAGAATTTGTCAAGACTTGGATCCGGTGTTTTGCAGCCCAGGCTAGGGCTGAAAAAATTTGAAAGTACCTGGCAAGAGGATGAGCAAATGAAATAACTGACCTCTTTCTAGCTTCGTCAGGTTGTGAAAAATTCTCTTATGATATATTCCAAACAATTGGAGAATTTGATTTTCGTCGAAATTTCAGAAATTCTAAAAAGTTCACGTGTCATAGAATAACATTACAAGAGAAAATTTGATTGGTTAACAAATATTTGGCCCCAAAAATGTAATTACAATCATTCTCTTGTATTCATTATAAAGTTTGAATTTTCGTATTTAAATTTCAGCATCAAATAATCCATAGCAAACCAAACCAAACCATACGAAACCAAACCATACGAAACCAAACCAAACCAAGATTGACAACAATTTTCCGCTTTCTCGGCGCATCTTAAAACTTCAGTATTCAAAATATATAAATATATTTAACAGGCAATTCTATATAACCAGTTCACACGCCTTCCCCGTTATTCGAACAGGAGTAGAGGTTTATCCCTTGTTTCCCGTTTAGGATTGAGTTTCCGGTTCCTTCCAAAGTTTTTCACTCCCAGTAGCCCTTTGCGTCTTAGTGGCATTATCGCCTTGTTTGGCGAGAACTGATTAAAACAAATATCAATCTAAAAATGATTTTATATCATATATTCAAAACGAATAATTTTCACTGAAATCTCAACTCTATAATTAATTATCATACGATAACCGTAAATAGTATCTATCATTTTACAACACACCATTCTCATGACTATCCCTGTCTATCTTGAAATAAAAAAAAAATGAGAAAAAAAATGACAAAAGTAAACTAAACTCGAAAAATAAAAAAATACATATAACGCGTTACACTCAGACAGTTAAAAAAGAACAGAACATTTATTGGAGTGGGAACGACATTGTGACACCTCTGACGTCAAAGCTTAAATGGCAAAGACGAGAATATATTGGATCGTTTGGTTTTCTAAATTTAATAATCATTTTTTTTTCTTGTTGGAAGATATTTTGTTGATTTTTTTCTAATACAAAAATTTGAATTTTATTTTTATTTTATTTATTTATTTATTTTTTACTATCGATTGATTAAAGTGGAAGCTGGGTATCTTCTTTGTAGATAATCCGAGCATTTTCAGATAATAAGGATGCCGGATGAAAGCTGATCTAATTAAAGATTTTTTTCCCACACTATTTGCATGTGTAGAGGTTGAAGAAGTATTTACTTTTATTTTAGTGATAAGGATTTCATTGTTTATTTTTTTTCTTTTTGTCATTTGCTTTTCTGACCTGCAAAATAATTTTTTTTTCATTTTTTTATCTAGATGCTTTAGGAATTGTTTCTTTTTTGTTTTGTTTTATTGCATGGCTGTTCTTTTTCTTTTATTTGCATATTTTTTGTTTTCCTAATTTTCTTTTTTTATCTGATTAACATTATTTTTCTTTCTTTCTTTCTTTCTTCCTTGGGATATTTCTAATTTCTTTCTTTCTTTTTTTCTAGGGATATTTATACTTTCTTTCTTTCTTTCTTGGGATATTTATAATTTCTTTCTTTCTTTCTTTCTTTCTTTCTTTTTTCTTTCTTTCTTTCTAGGGATATTTATAATTTCTTTCTTTCTTTCTTTCTTTCTTTCTTTCTTTCTTTCTTTCTTGGGATATTTATAATTTCTTTCTTTCTTTCTTTCTAGGGATGTTTCGGCTTTTTTGTGATATTTCTCCTTTTTTCTTTTCTTTTCTTTCTTTTTCTTTTCCTTCTTTCTTTATTTTTACTGTTTTTTTGTTTTTTCCTTACATTGATTTTCTCTTGATAGCGATGTTTTTCTTTCTTTCTTTCTTTCTTTCTTTCTTTCTTTCTTTCTTTCTTTCTTTCTTTCCGGGGATGTTTCACGCTTCTTTCTTTCTTTCTTTCTTCTGAATGTGACTTTTATCTTTCTATACACAATTCTCTATTCCCATTATGTACCGCTGCCTCGCCCTTTTCTTCAATCTCCCTTTATGATTGTAAAAGCTTCTCTTTCTTAAAACGATGACAATAACATTTTTTTCTAACCCAGAAAATATATAATCAGATATAAAATGTCAGGAGTCATCAAGCGCATTTAAAATTATGCATTAAATTGATTTGATTTGTACATCTAATAAAGGCTGTACAATTATGTTTTCATAGAATGGATACGACCAGTGTATGCGTCGCTTTTAAAACTGAATTCATCTTTACTGATGTATCTAAAAAATAGGCATTACACATATGACTCCGTTTATTTACCACCTAACTTCCGGTGTGCTGAAATGTGGGTAATAGAGCACAACAGATAATATAATCATACTACAAAATCGAAGACTTATTATGTGAGTCTGGAACAGAATTTCAGTTTAACATTTTACTATTGAAATCAGTGCCAGTCTTACAGCACGTAAAGGCTTGACCGGGACTCTACCGATTTGATGAGGTATATCGCGGTGATAAGAGGTCACCAGTATACGTTTTGTTTTGTATTTTCTGTCAAAGCCAAAGATTAAAAAGTGGTCGGTCGTAAAACGCTTTATTATACAAGAAAACTAAACCTGTAACAAAAATTGAAAGCTAACCCTGTTTGAGGTTTGTAGATATGGTTTGTTTATCTATGAATCTACCACTCCATTACGATACCTTAGGGCAGTAGTTCCCAAAATCGCGCGCCTCATAACAGGTGAGGCGTTGCCCGGATGTACATAGCTACAATTGTATAGCTGCACTCCCCTGTATACCTGCATTCCTACTTGGAAATGTCTACCTGCGTCATCGCTTGCATGCTTCATTCGTTGGTATACCTCCCACCATCTTTTTTTTTTACGGTATGTCCTTCGCAAATGTTTGATTGTTCTTAATAAAGGAATCCCATCGCTAAAACCTTCTTGTGTGGTCGTTGCTCGGTGTTAATTTGTTTCAATGTTTTAGATATTCAGTAAATTTCCTATGGTTCTAATAACTTTCAAATAATATGGCATTGTCCACAAATCTGATAATCAAGGAAAAACATAGATGAAGTGTCAGAGCTTGATTCAACTGCAAGTGTAAACGCATGAACGCCCCCTCCTTCTTCGCACGTTTACTGAAAAGCTGAGGTTAATTTTCACTTTTAATGCTTCAATAATTCTTTTCAAAACAAACTTTGCAACAAAGTTTGTTCGAATGGATAGAATCATATGAAGAAACTATTGGCTAAATGGGAAAAAAAACGATTTTGGGCCTAGTTTGTCGCAGATTCCGTTCACTTAACTGAAATAATCTAAACCAAGCATTCACACAAGACAATTTGTGTGTCATATGTAATTTACATGACAAATTTGGAATGCATCGGATGAAAAAACAGGAAGCTATGACCAAAATAACAGGCTTTTTGAACAGTTTTTCTTGAGGAAGCGAGCAGGACTAAAACTATACTATCTTATTTCTTGCATGATGGCAACTTTTTGCGACATGCTTGAAGAAAATCGGATAAAAAGGAGGAATTTATTCAAGTTTTTATTTTAAGTAGTACGAA